GCAATTCGCAGAACTCGTCTTACAACTTTTAATTTCTAAGCAGGCCCTCTTCTCCCTCCATTCAGGTGTCTTGTGTGTGAGCCACAGGACAGTAACTTTGCTGTCGGGAAGCTGCTCATTCTCTTTTGTAGATCTCCATTTCCTATTTTTGCCTGGTTCTCTGTAGAACCTGCTTCCATGGGCATAGGCTGAGTGACAACAATGGAGTCCAAGAGATGCAGTTGAAAGACCAAAGTTTACAAGACTTTATAAATAAAGTTTTATCAGAACAGTCATGCCCACTCATTTACATATTCTCTGGCTGCTTTCATGGTACAACAGCAAAGTTTGAGTAGTTCCAACAGAGATTGTATGGCACGCAAAGCTCAAAATATTTATGTTTTGGCCCTTTGCAACAGAGATCGTACGGCGTGCAAAGCCTGAAATATTTATTTTCTGGCCCTTTGGAGAGTTTGCCCATCCTTGCTTTAGAGAGTTTTGTACTGGCATTTACATGCTAGTCTTAAGTAACTTGTATCACTTCCACTCACAACTCACTGGCCAGAATGGTCACGTGGTCCCACTCAACCATAGAGGGCCAGGAAGTACATCCTGCCATGTGCCCAAGAGGGGATAATCAGACTATTTGACAAACAGCGCTAATGGCCACCATAAGCACCTACTATGAGTTGAAATCAGTACCATGTGCTAGGAATAGAAAGATGAAGAAGACAAAATCTTTGATCTCGAGGAATTTAAGGAATGCCAGAATTTGGGGATTGGAGGGGGAAGGCTAAGTATAGATTCAGGTGTCCTTTTCTAGAAGATATAGACTGGCTTGTCTGAATTGCTTGATATCTCAGCTTGGTGCTAGCCAGAACTGGGGACTGACCGGCTTGGCAAACAGTGGGGGGCGACAGATCCTCCTGATGAACATTTATATCAATAATACAAGGCTTGTTTAGCGGAAATTCTTTTTTTTATTGCATTTTAGGTTTTGGGGTACATGTGAAGAACATGCAAGATTGTTGCATAGGTACACACATGGCAGTGTGATTTGCTGCCTTCCTTCCCCTCACCTGTATCTGTCATTTCTCCCCATGCTATCTCCCCCACCTCCCCACTCCCATCCCTCCCCCATTTCCCCCCAGCGGACCCCAGTGTGTAGTGCTCCCCTCCCCGTGTCCATGTGTTCTCATTGTTCAACACCCGCCTATGAGTGAGAACATGCGGTGTTTGATTTTCTGCTCTTGTGTCAGTTTGCTGAGAATGATGATTTCCAGGTTCATCCATGTCCCTACAAAGGACACGAACTCATCGTTTTTGATGGCTTTAGACTGGACAGGGAAAATGTGGTACATATACAGAAATTCTTAAAGGAAAGAGGAGATAATTTCATGTTTTGATATTCGTAACATTGACTGTGTTAAAGCCGGAGCTCCGCAGTGCATATTATTGCTGTTGTAATTTTGGCAAAGATGTGTTTCAAATTGGCAAAGTGTCTGAGAAGAGGAAATCATATAAGGAGAGAGAGCGGGGTGGGTCAGGAAATGGAGGTGGGGAGCCAGGTACTGGTGGCCTGGTGAGAGGTGGGAGGGTGGCTCAGGAGCCTTTGTCACAGAGAGACATGAGGGAGGGGAGGCTGCAGCCAGCAAAGCCTGAGAATTCTTGAAGTTGCTGGAGATGCTAAGGCCTGGGGAGGGAGTGGGAGCAGCAGGGAAGGGGTGTGTGCGTGCATGTGGTAAGGGAGAGACATTTAAACATCGTAGGAATGAAGGATAAATTTAAAATCCCTCAAGGGGAGTTGAGACAGAATGACAACGTGAAGAACATGAATCACTCTTTCTAGGGACCCACCCAGCGGTTGGCATGATTTGGGATACATTTTCTCCTCCGTACCAAGCTCATTCTGGACCCTTTGTCTTCCTTCTTTCTGCTCCCTTGACCTGGCCTTGGTGGCCACGGACCTAGTGCTGGCTACCATGTCCTGGGAGCTTCAAGATCAAAAGCATTGAGGCCTTAGGGTGTGGTGCGGGTAGGGTAAGGAACACCAGTACAGATGTTAGAGATGGAGAAGGAGACAAAGAGCTTAGGGCTCTAGGGACACCCAGGGCTCCCATCAGGCTTTATCACGATGTGCTAAGATCATCCTCTCATCCAGCCGTTTTGCTTCTATTTGCTATCTTAGCATAATGAGGAGGGGGCGGGGGCTGGGAGAGGCATTTATGGATTCTGCTTCATGTGGTAGAGACATGTGATCAATGCAGCGGAGAAAACCGTAAGCTAGGACTTGAAATCTCAGTTCTCTCCCAGCTCTGCTTTTTATTGGCAGTGTGATCCTGGGTGGGGCTCTCTACCTTTCTGGACCTCAGCATCCATAAAATGATACGGTTAGATCATTAAGATTTCTAACCTTTGAAATATTCTTTGTATTTGTGATTTGCAATTTGACTTGCAGTCCAGCCCAGGGAAGGGGTGGCGTCTAGAGAGCAGCATCTGGGAGGATGCCACCCTGGGGGCCCAGCACAGCTCCCAACCCGTAGTAGGTGCTCAACTATCCCACACTTGTTGAATGATCTGGAGGCCCGGGCTCCTCTGAGCACATAGAGCACGGCACACTTCTTAGATGCCAGTTGTGGTCACTAAGACATGTGGTTGTGAGGGATTCCAGTTTGGGGCTCCTGGCTAGGAGGGAGACAATAAACAGGTGTCTTGAAAAGGTGGTAAGTTCAGGCCCTCTCAAGCCAGAAGGGCTGGTTCCCCGCCCCCATCCCCGGACTCCAGCCTTAGACTTACTATGGGGACTAGCGGTGTGTGAGTAACTTTTACGTTAAGTTAAACCTTCGCAAATTGGAGCATGTCAAGGTCTAGTATGAGCCACCCACCTGGAGTGCTGCGTTCACTTGGGCAGGTCCATAAGGCGTGAAACAGGGAAACACCTTGATGGCTTTGGACTCAGCCTTTAGGGGTGCAGTAGTGGAGGAGCAGTGCACAAAGGAGGGGGGAGGAGTGACCAGCCAGGCAGGAGGAACCCTTGCTTTCCCTAAATCCTCCCTCACGCACATGCTCTTCCCTTTTGCCTGTACTCCTTTCCTGTTCCTCACCTGGCAAGCTCTGTTTAACCCGTCTCTAGGGTCCTTTCCTTCACAAAGCCCTCCTGACCACCCCCAGCTGGGCTAGGTATCCCTCTTTATTTCTTTTTTGAGATGGAGTGTCATTCTGTCAGCCAGGCTAGAGTGCAATGGTGTGATCTTGGCTCACTGCAACCTCTGTACCCCGGGTTCGGGTGATTCTCCTGCCTCAGCCTCCCGAGTAGCTGGGATTACAGGCACACACCACCACACCTGGCTAATTTTTGTATTTTTTAGTAGAGACGGGGTTTCACCATGTTGGCCAGGCTGGACTCGAACTCTTGACCTCAAGTGATCCACCCCCCCTTGGCCTCCCAAAGTGCTGGGATTACAGGCACACACCACCACACCTGGCTAATTTTTGTATTTTTTAGTAGGGACGGGGTTTCACCATGTTGGCCAGGCTGGACTCGAACTCTTGATCTCAAGTGATCCACCCCCCCTTGGCCTCCCAAAGTGCTGGGATTACAGGCGTGAGCCACCGCACCCAACCAGGTGCCCCTCACATGTGCTCCTCTAGCAGTCAGGCCTATGCCTATCACAGCACATCCTGTCATGGTCACAATCAATGTTCTTCCTTTCTCTCTCATGAGGATGATGTGGATTGTCTTGTGCCCAGTACCTGGCACAGTGCCCGGCACGTGGTAAGCCCTCAGTAAACACCAATTCAATGTGTATGTCTTTCAGAGGCCAATCTGGCCATATCTTCCTTGGCATGGAAAAGGAGAATGATGCCAAGGGAGCCACAGGAGCACCTGAGTCACACGTGGCCCCCAGGTCCTGAGGCAGACACATGCATTAAAAAAGGAGGAAGGAACCTGCAGACGGGACCCACTTCTCAAGAATAGTCCTCCAAAGGCTGGGCTCAGAGGCAATGCTTGTAATCCCAGTACTTTGGGTGGCTGAGTCAGGAGGATTGCTTGAGTCCAGGAGTTTGAGACCAGTCTAGGCAACATGGGGAGATGCCATCTCTAAAAAAAAAAAAAAAAAAAAAAAAAAAAAAAAAAAAAAAAAAAATTGCTGGCTGTGGTGGCACATGCCTGTGGTCCCAGCTACTTGAGAGGCTGAGACAGGAGGATCGTCTGATCCCGGGAGCTTGATGCTGCAGTGAGCTATGATTGTGCCATTGAACTCCAGCCTGGGTGACAGATCCTATCTCAAAATGAATAAATTTAAAAAAAGAGCCCACCTTGAGGCTTGGTCTCCTGGGAGCATGTGCTTGGGAGGCAGGGCAGCAGGTGGTAGATGGGAATTCCCCCAGAGGAGCTGGGCCCGGGGGAGGGATTCTTCCACCAAAAATGGGAGGGAACAGCCACCTAGCTATCTCAGGTGGGGCTGATAATTGCAGCCTTCAGAGTTCTCTCTTTACTGCAGCCCCTGAAACCTTAGCACTGGAGCATATCATTAGTTCTTTAACCTCTGTCTTCTGCAGTAGACTGTGAAGTTTAGAAGGGCGAGAATCCACTCCACTTTGTGGAATTCTGGACACCTGGCGCCCAGCTTGGTCCACCGCAGATGCTCCTGATTTCAACATCATTGATGGAGCTCCTCTGTCTGCGTGTGTGGGTCGTCAGGCCCAGGGTGTAGCACTGAGCAAGTCTTGGCCTGGAGGGCAATGCCATTAACCTCTTTCTTTCTCTTCTCTATTTCCCTGTGGCCTTGGCCCCATCCTCCCTCCTTCCCCTCCCCACTCCTGGTCTCTCCCCTGCCCCTCCCACAGAGCAATGTTCTGTGATGGTGCCAGAGATGCGTGGACTGAGCCCAGAACGCAGGCTGCCCGAGCCCGCCCCCTGCCCGGCTGCGGGGAGCCCTGAGCCCCGGGCCGCGGGCCACCGCCGCCGTCGCCACGTGCTGGCCCTGCCGGAGGAGGAGACATGGCGGCCCCAGCAGTGCACCCTGCTCGAGGCCGAGGCCTCGGACGAGGTGGGCATGCTGCCGGCCTCCCCGCGTGCCGCCTCCGGCTTCGACAACTTCTTCCCGGTGCAGGAGGGCGAGGGCCCGGGCTGGGAGGGCGCTGTGGCGCTGGAAGCGGGCTCCGGCCCCTTCCTCCCGGTGAGCCCCGAGGTCATGAAGCGGCGGCGCGGGGGCCTCATCGAACAGCGCGACATCATCAAGGCCCACGAGGCGCACAAGATGCAGAGCACCCCGCAGGCCCGGCGCAAGGAATGGGAGTGAGTACGGCGCGGCGCGGCGCGGCGCGGGGCGCGGGGCGGACGTGGCTGGGCCTCAGGTCGGGGTGGGGTCCTGGGACGGATGGGGCCTGTGGGGGCGGGAGATGCTTTCGACTGTGCTGCAACTGACGAGGGGCTGGGCCCTCCGGGGGACGTCCTCGTGGTCAGCCCCGGGTCTCACCACCCGGCTGTAGGCCTCGTCCAGCCTCCCTGCGGCCTTCAGTGTCAGATGCGGGTGAATCAGGCTTGCCTCCAAGGCTCACTTAGTTTACTAACAGCCTGTGGGTAAAGAACTGGGGTCTGTTTCGTTTTCTGAGCTTTCCCAAAGCCCACGGAGAATGCTTCACCAGGTGGATCATCTATATCATCTTTGCTTCAGGAACTGCAGATGACCCTGCTCTTTTAATATCCTCCTCGGGTAAATGATTACATTCTGGGGCACTTCTCCAGTGGCTGGAAGAAAATGACCAACATCTGTGGCCACTCCTGGCCTTATTTCTGCTCTTTCTGTGTAGGGCAAAAGGCTGACTTCAATTCGCACCTGTTGCAAATTTTGGCTTTTTCTCCTTAGGAGTCCTAAAGGAGGATGGTATTTCATTTAATTCTTGGTTGCGCCGGGTTTAGGCTCCGTAGACGGACTGAGTTTTGTCCCGTGGATGCCAGCGTCCACGCTGCATGTTGGCACGTCCTGTGGTCCGTATGTCTGTCTCTTCTTGCTTTAGGTTGTGGACTTGCTAAATGTCATCAAGTGCCAAGAGACTAGTGACAGGTGTGTCCTGATGGTGGTGGTCGTGTGGGATTTACCTGCCTGTTTTCAGTGAGTGTTCTGGATGGTGCGAGTAGGGGTAGATGAACTGATCTCTGTTTCACAAGGATGTGCATGTTTGTTAGTTAAGTCATTCAGTGAGCCCTAATGTATGCCAAGCTCCCGGGATTCACAGAGGAGCTGAGCACATCCAGCATTCCACAGACCTCTCGGTTGTTGATCTCTCAGTACTGTTAGTATTTAGAACCTTGCATAGCTGTCTTTACGTGCCAGGCAACATTCTAAGCACCTTACCTCCGTCCTCTCACGGTAATCCTCACTATAGCTGTGAGGTAGGTGCAGTTATTAGCCACATGTAACCAATGAGGCACAGAGAAGTTAAGTGGCTTTCTCAAGGTCACTTGGATAACAACTGCATTGTTACTGTGATTTGATACGAATCAGTGATTCGAACCCTGGCAGTCTGGTTCTAGAATCCATGCTTTTAACCGTGATGGCACAGTGCCTTTCGTTCTAAAGCTCAAAGTACTTCTCTCAACAACCTGTTGAGATGCCGTGGTGAGAGCACTGGTGTGGGGGTTGGGAGACTTGGTTCTAATTCCCAGGGTGACCTAATTAGTGGTGTGACCTTCAGTAAGTCACCTCATCATGACTTTGGAAAACAAGTAGGAGAGAGTAGATGGCCTTTAAACCCAGGCAGCTCCGATAGCTGGTCTTTCTTCGCATTTAGAAGTACTGTTTTTTAATGCACCTCCATCTTACTTTTCTAAGAGGACCCTGAACACCTTGAGGCAGAGACCATCATACACATTGTTCATGTCACTCAATGCCAATTATCCAGCCTAACCCAAGAAATCCCACAATTCTCAATGAAAAACTAGCTTTACCGTGACTAGCAATGTGGAAATAACTTTTGTGTCTTTCAGTAAGTTAAACTTCTACTAATGGAGGATGTCAAGATCTTGTACCAGCCACCTACCGGGGGTGCCAGTGGGGCTGATTGGGAGATCATTTTCACCTGGGCAGGTCCGGGAAGAGGTGAACCAGGGAACACACATCAATGGCCTTGGGCAATGTCAGCCTTTAGGGGCGTAGCAGTGGAGGAGGAGCATATGAGGGAGGTGAGAAGGCATGGAAGGAGGTGGGAGGGTAACCAGGGGGTAGAGGGACAGAGAAGTGAGGACACGGGTGTGTTCAGAAGGAAAGTCATCATCTCCATACAATGTTGCTGAGAGGTCAAATGAAATGAAGACAGAGAAGGAAACACTGGTTTTGGCAACACAGAGGTGACCTTAATGGGAGCAGCTCAGCAAGTGCAATGGGGTCAGTAGCCCAGTGGGAGTGGGTTGAAGAGAAAATGGGAAGTGACAGAGACAGTGATGTTGCCCCGTCCTTCTCTGCGCCCCAACACTCATAGCCTCACTGTGCCTTTCCCCATTACCACCTAATCTTCTTACTCTTGTGGCTCTGGACGTGCCTTAATTTGATCTTCTCCACACCCCTCCCCAGCTCTCCAAACCCTAATGTTGCTGAGCACAGAGGGCTCACTGCTCAAGGCACTAGAGGCCAATACTGTAACACTAGGTTTTTGAGCAGAGAAGCTTTTTATTGCATGGTGACTCACAAGGAGACAGTAGTCAAGCCCAAATCTGTCTCTCTGTCCTCCCTTCAGGGCAGTATTTTCATTAGAAAAGGTTCAAGGGATTAGTGGGTGATTAGTGGAGGGGAAGGGGAGGTCTGGAAAGTCCTTGGACTCTTCATGCTGCCTCACGGGTCACTGTGAAAATTCTTGGGCACTTAGTATGAAACACATCACGGCAGGTCAGGCCGTGACGTCAGCAAGCTTGTTCTGCGCAGACTCCAGTAGGTCAGGCCATCTTGGTTCCAACCAATGTCAGCCCGTTTTTTCTTGATCTCACAAGTGGGGGGAATTTCGGCATTTCTGTATGTTGCTTTTCTTATCTGCCATTCTGCAAGCTCAAGACTATCTGTTAGTCATCGGTTTTTACTCTTTGGGGCACAGTTTCAGCTTCAGCTTTTCAGCAAGTTGTTTCTTTTCTTATCTGCTGTCCTGTACACCCAAGAATGTAGTCATTGGCTTCTTTGACCCTTTGGGGCATGATTTCACTAACACACTGTCTGGAACCCACGTTCCATCATCAGCAAAATCGTGTCCATCCTCCTAGCCTTCTCTGGAAGTCCCTTCACTTTCTTATTCCTGCTGGAGCCACCCCCTCAGCCACCCTCCAGCGTTGCAGCCTGCTCTGCAGCTGCCTCACGTGACAGCTGCTTTCCCTTCCATGTTGCCTTGGACTCTGGAGTCTGGAGAAGCAACTTGCTCCTCACTCTTGCTTCCAGACCATGATTCCCCACTCCTCTCCTAAAAATGCCAGCTGTGGAGCACATATCATCAGATAATACTACCTCCGACCCCTGGTTGCCACCATCTACAGACCCCCAAGTCACCTGCTTCATTCCGGGAAGAGTGGGCTACCCTGGGTTTACTGCCTCTCCCCACATCTTCAGCTGCCAGCAGTTCTTGGTGATTTCAGTATCCACGTAGGTGACGCTTCCTGCACCCTGGCGCCTTGGTGCCTTAGCCTCTTCTCTTTTGTAACTTTGCCTTCTTGCTTCCTGCTGAGAGCTCACCTCCGTGGTCTGCCTGGATCTTGTAATAGCTGCACTGCTCCATACTCTCAGTTTCAAGCATCCCACTGCGTGGCCACCCCTCTATTCTCTCCACTTCACGCCCTCTAGTGCTCCGTTCCCGAGATTCTTTTGTTTTGTTTTGTTTTTTGAGGTGGAGTCTCATTCTTGTTGCCCAGGCTAGAGTGCAATGGCATGACTTTGGCTCACTGCAACCTCCGCCTCCCCAGTTCAAGTGATTCTCCTGCCTCAGCCTCCTGAGTAGCTGGGATTACAGGAGCCCACCACCATGCCCAGCTAATTTTTTTTGTATTTTCAGTAGAGACGGGGCTTCACTATGTTGGTCAGGCTGGTCTCGAACTCCTGACCTAAGGCGATCTACCCACCTTGGCCTCCCAAAGTGCTGGGTTTATTAGGCATGAGCCACCGTGCCCGGCTGAGATTCTTTAATCTCACTGCATCGGCAAGACATTGATCCTATTACCTTTTCACGATCCCCTTCCCAAGTCATTATTCCCCATCTTACCAAACTGAATTCCATTCTAAGCACCAAATACATTTTCCAGATAAAATAGTGACCTTTCATTTGAGGTCTCCTCTTCCTCCTCCTCCTCCTCCTCCTCCTCCTCCTCCTCCTTCTCCTCCTCCTCCTCCTCTTCCTCCCTTCCTCCCTTCCTCCCTTCTTCCCTTCTTCTTTCTTCTTTCTTCTGAGGGAGGTTCATTCTTCTTGCCCAGGCTGGAGTACAGTGGCGAGATCTTGGCTCACTGCATGCAATCTCAGTCTCCTGAGTATCTGGGATTACAGGCACCTGCCACCACACCTGGCTAATTTTTTGTATTTTTAGTAGAGACTGGGTTTCACCACGTTGGCCAGGCTGGTCTTGAACTCCTGAGTTTTGACCAACCTCTAAGATAGAATGAGTCATTCACAAGGGGCAAGAATGCTGGAGCTCAAGTTGGTTTCTAGTGTACTTCAGGCTTCACCATCATTGTAATCTCCTTGTTTTCCCCCTCAACTTCAGTGTTCCTCTGTTGCTTTGTTATACGTTGCCTGGCAGAACTTCAGCCCTGCTAAATCCCACTTGGCACCATTCTTCATGTACATGTGGGCAGGTGACCATTGCTCTAGAAAAGCTCACAACCGTGCTGATCGATCTCACTGTGAATTGACGACTGCCTCCTCCAGTTGGCCCTTGGTCCTGCCCAGAAATCTTACTCTTTTTCCCTTTTCTCTTCACTCTCACATTCCTCTAGAGATTATTTCACATGCTTTTCCCTTAACTCTCAAATCCCATAGCTTCCTGCCAGCTCGCTTCTAGCTCACGACTATGATTGCCTTCCCACTTCACTGGGAAAATAGCAGTAATCAGGAGAGGCATGTACAGGCTCCATCCCCACGCTGACCACCTGCTGCATCTGGGCCTTGGTGCCAGGCCTTTACTTTCTGTTACTGTGGACTGACCACCCCGCAAGTTCCATGTGGAGTCTGGTGCCCACATAGAGCAAAATGAGCCCTTTTGTCTATTCTGCCTCCATTTTTTTTCCCTTACAATTTCCTTTGGAACCCATTCCGATCAGGTCTTTGTCC